GATTGATACCTCCTCTCATTTGCATTTCTTCCCAATCACAGACTCCTGAGAACATTCCCGCCTCGTCTCTTCCACCAAGCGATGAAGAGTATGAACTACATGTTGATAATTATCTCCTTCGTTACCTGAAAGAATGTCCACATGCTCAGCAAGAACTTGAGAACATGCTTGCCTGTTTAGCCTGCTCTGCTGATCTTTACTGTGAGGAGGGGAGAGTTTTAGTCAGGAGGCGAGCTCAACCTGCTGCTGCAGATGAAGTTAGTGATTGGAAAGCTGAGGTAGACGCTCTCTTTGGTGGCTACTTGTGCCATTATAAAGTAAACCCTGACAAAGTTGAAGCTTTGGTTCAGTCCAGCAGCTCTTGTCAGACTGCAGGTGAGGTGAAGGTGTACACAGATGAGTCTGGGATGGCTGTTGTTGTTGGACAACTGTCTCTGGTTCATGCCAGGTTGTTAGACATCGAGCAACCTTCAAGTTTACGTGACAATATGGCATCTCTGAGTTTAAGAGAGGAAAGCACAACCATTGCTAGCTACAGCCTTTGTGATGGGCTCCAGGTGTTTGTGTGTCAGGGTGACATCACCAAGCAACACACTGATGCTCTGGTAAATGCAGCCAATCAGGACTTGGAGCACTCTGCAGGTGTTGCTGCTGCACTGAGTCGAGCTGGTGGTCCTGAAATACAGAGAGAGAGTGATGAATTAGTGAAGTGTTTGGGGAAAATTCCCATAGGAGACACAGTAGTGACCACAGGGGGTAACTTAAAGTGCAAGAAACTGCTTCATGCAGTTGGGCCTGTAGGTGGAAAAGCAAGTAACAGAGATAAGATGTTACTGGAAAAAACTGTGCATTGTGCTTTAAAGCTTTCAGAAATAATGGAGTTTCAGTCCATAGCCATTCCTTGTATCAGCTCAGGTGTGTCTGGGGTTCCTCTCACTGTGTGCACTGAGGCAACTGTTGCGGCTGTGAAGGACTTTGGCAGTGTGGGAGGTCGAAGTGTGAGGAAAATCATCCTGATTGATAACAGAGAGGAGGCAGTGAGGGCCATGCAGGAAGCATGTGACAGGCTTCTCCAAGGGATAGATACACCTGATGAAGATACAGCAAGAGGAGCCACTGCCAGAGCTCCTGGAGGCAGAGTCCACATGGAGGTTATTCAGGGATCGATTGAGAGCCAACAGGTGAGACATGTTGCTGTGATGACGACATTTCACAATAAAACACATTTTCTAAGCCCACCAAGTCTCCTGCTCTTCTCCTAGGTGGATGCTTTGGTGTCTCCTATGGTTGGCCGTGATCCTCTCTCTACCCGTGTTGGAAATGCTTTGTTTGAAGTAGCTGGACCACAGCTGACCACAAGGTTTAGAAAGGAAGCAGAAGATGAAACAATGCCTGGTGACTCAGTACTGCTGGAGGGCTTACCTGGACTTCAATGTAATGCAGTCTTCTTCCTCAATCTTGTTCCCTTTGATGGTGACCCAGAGGGTGTTCCAGTCCAGGTGAGATAGTAAAGGAGGGATTTTATTAGTCTGCCTGTTTGTGAGGACATTTTTTAATGAAGCCATTTGTCTTAATCCAATATTGTTATGTTCTATAGGTTCTTCGAATGAGCATCAACACAATACTGTCTTTTTGTGAGAAGAAAGGATTCAGATCTGTCGCTCTTCCCGTCCTCGGTGCTGGGATGGCCCTGCAATTTCCTGTCAGTGAAGTGGAGAGAGTGTTAATGGAGGAAGTTTATGTATTTGAAGAGGAGCGAGCAGGCATCACACCATTTCTGATCCGCATCGTCATTCACCCCGATGATGAGGAGACACACGAGGTTATGACATAGCACTTTTCCCTAAAAATCAACTACTGACAATTACGACGCTGAGAGTTGAAGAATGCCACCAACACCAAACTCTTATATTGATTTGTGCTTAAAAAAAGAAACTCTGAATATAGTAATCAAATATGTTCCAATAGTAAGCTCATTTACCATCTCATTTGCCAATATCAGTCAGCAGGGACAGTCTCATCTGACCCCAGTATTATGTGTAATAATATACTGTACAGAAATTGTTACTAATGTTGTTAATTTGTTGTCTTTACAGACATTTGGCTCTGTCCAAAATGGCAAATTCACTGAAGATTTTCACCACAAAGACCCAGACCAAGGTGAGTGTAGGAAAATATATACAACTAAGAATCAAAACAGTGGTTTTTTTTTATCTGTTTTTTCTTTTCTTTTCGGGCACCTAAAAATCTCGAGTTAAAAAAGAGACAACATCTAAAACATCAACAGGGAATTACTACATCAGTTAGAGAATATAAAAGACATTCAGTCCATCACAGTGTACAAAATACACAGCATTTGGACAACAGCTCAAATACCTGAAAGTTTGGAGGATTCAGACAACCCTCCAAAGACTGAACAAAAGCTTGACCTAATTATCATTTAATGTTCAGGTCTCATATTATCCCTCCTGCTACAGACCCATCTGTTCTCATACCAACAGTGACAGTGGTCAACAACCTGAAACCCACAAGTTGTACTCTGGATATTTATAATAACCGACCAAAAGCTTGGCCTAATAGCAAACTGCATTCTCCTCTTATTCTTTAGTATTGACTCTGTGTCTGACTAAGCCTATACTGTAAAATCTGCTTCCTATTTTAAACCTCAAACCATGACCAAAAAATATTTCAAAGGCAGCAAAAGTAAGAAACAAATGTACTTAACAGAGTCAACTTTCTCCTCTAGATTCAACAACGATGAGGTTGGTCCTGCTGGGAAAAACAGGATCTGGGAAAAGTCACCTGGGTAACACCATTTTTGGAGAGGAGCTCTTTGCCACTTATGCCTCTCCAAACTCTGGAACAATGAAATGCCAAACAGAAACCAAAACAGTCAGTGGAAGAAGCATCACTCTGATCGACACCCCTGGTTTCTTTGACACAGGAAGGTCTGAGGAAGATCTGAAGCCTGAGATAATGAGCTGTATGACAGAGTGTGCTCCTGGGCCTCATGCTTTTCTCATTGTGCTTCGAGTGGATAAATTCACAGAGCACGAGCAGGCTGTCATCGCTAAGATATGTCAGTGTTTCTCAGATGAAGCTCTAAAATATGCTGTCGTTGTTTTCACTCACGGTGAACAGCTTGACAAAAAATTTAAAATTGAAGATTTTGTCAGTGAGAACAAAAATCTGAGTGATCTGGTGTCAAAGTGTGGTGGTCGGTGCCACGTCTTTGATAACAAACACTGGAACAACAACCAGCCAAACAACTACAGGAGCAACCAGTTCCAGCTGGAGGAGTTGCTGAAATCAATAGAAAAAATGGTGGCAGAAAGAAACGGAGGTTACTACACAAATAAAATGCTGCAACATTTGGAGACAGCAGTACGAGAGCAGGTAGAGCACATTTCGTACTCAATGCCAGATAAAACCCCAGAAGAGATCAGAAAGCAGGCTAAAACTAATGTGAGGAGTAGGTTTCTGATCCAAATGGCAGGGACTGGAACAGGAGCCTTGCTCGGTGCTTTTTTCGGTGTAGTAACATTGGCTGAATTTGCTATCAAAGCTGTGAAGGACCCACAATTTATGAATGTCACAACAAAGCTTTCCAGATTTGTGCCAGCTGCACAACAACAGAATGCATTAGTAGCTGCTGGAGCAGTAGGCTTGGTTGGAGCAGCAACTGCAGGAGGAATAATGGGAGGTGTAATTGGAAATGAAGCAGCTAAAGATTCAGAGTCACTTTCAGAAGCTGTACAGAAAGCATATAAGGCTGTACAGGAGGAAAGAAAATCTCTTACTCATGTAAGATTTTCATAATAACCAGGTACAGTAGTCCCTCGTTTATCGCGGGAGTAAAATAATAGGCAACTTTAATTTTTTACAGTTATTATAGATGTTTTAAGGCTGTAAAACCCATCACTACACACTTTATACACTTTTCTTGTTGTGTTTGACATTTTTGTGTTTGTTGGGAGAAAACTTACAAACACACAGGACAGCTCTTCAGAGTCACGCTGCTAGTGATCGAAGATTTATGTAGATTTGACTACCTGAACTCATTCTGTACTGTACAGGAGACACGGCACGAGATTGATTGGCAGTGGTCTACAGGACGCAGAACACAATGCGTTGTTAAAATTTAAAAAAAGAAAAAAAAGAAAGTCGTAAAAGGCGTTACACAAAATTAGTGTTTATTTGAAATCTGGTTTTTGGCAAACTATCATATATTTAGTCAGCAGTTTCCCTCCTTCATGAAGGAGATTTTGTTCTTCAGCCACTTTAGCATTTTATCTACTAACATTTTGTTTTTTCTTACTTCCCTTTGGTGGTGGGAACATATTGTTTGGTGTATTTATGTTCAATAGGTTTGTGATCCATAAACAACTAAAACGTTGAGCTTAAAGATTCTCACAAGATCTATGAGTGTGATAGCTGTGTTTATGGGGTTGCTGCTTGAACTACATAGTGCCTTGATTCACTGTGATCATAATTTTTCATACAGATGTGACTAAAGTGGAAGAATGTTTGAGACCATGAAACACATCAAACTTTAAAAACAATAACACAACAAAACACTTAAGATTGAAGAAATTAGGTTTTGTTTGATTTTTCCCTGATATTGTCAAATCTCTATTTTAACTTAATTGTAAAGTATCTAATAATAATAGAACTACCTGATATGTGTATGCTATATTGCTGAAATGACTGACAGATCAAAGATGTCTTATTAAGCAATAAAAGCTATAATCTCTGACAAGGTTTCCCATTTCCCATGGCACGGTTTTGCTGTTGTAGTACTACACTTACATGTTGTGATCAACAAGAGACACTCGAAGAAAATGCTTTGATTCATGTGATGCCATTACCAGCATTAACATCAATTTTATTCATAAGGTCTAAATAACACAAGAGCAGTCTCCTCATTGTGCTTTGTAAGGTAAAGACCCCACAATAATGCAGAGAAACCCCAACAATCAATGTGAGCAAACACATGGCAACAGTGGTTAGGAAAAGTTCACTTTTAACAGGAAAAAAGCTCCACAAAAACCCGGCTCGGGCAGAGTGCATCCATCTCCTGTGACCCTTTAAGGGTTAGGAGAGGTAGACACCTATTAATAAGAGCCAGAGACTATTAATAGCTATGATTAAATGCAGAAAGATGTATAAATCAGGGATGGCACAATACCACTTTTAATGTCTGATACCGATATCATAAATTTGAATATCTGCCGACACCGATATGAATCTGATGTAGTCTGTTTATGATCAATAAAAAAAATTAAATTTATTTTGCTGAATGTTGTAAAAGTTCATACTAAACAAAACACTAAAGACTATTATACTTGTATTAAAAAAATAAACTGCACCCAAAATATTTTACAGTTCAACATTATTAATCTTTGTATTTGAACTTTTAGCAGAACTTTAAATCTAAATATTTAAAGTAATATTCAAAAGTAATTTAAAATGTGATTTTATGCAGATTTCAAAAACTCTTTGGTTCTGAAAAAAAGTGCAATATTAGCACAAAATAATGTTTATATTCAACAACTTAGAACAAAAAAACAAGTTGTAGAATGGATTCTTTTATACTTACAGCTTAACATAAATAGACATCCAGAGTGGAAAGCAGTGCAAATAAATGCAAACATGGCTTATTGTGACACTCATCTTTTATCAAGATGGATGTCAGTGTAAGCTCTTTCTATCAAATTTAACCTGAGATTGAATTTTTTGTAATTTTGATACAAAACTTAATACAAGTATGAAAAAAGTGGGTTTTTTTTTTTTATTGTTGTTTTTTGGAATCATGAAACTATTTAGCCTGCAACATTGCGTTTTGCAATGTAAAACTTGAGTCTATCTATTGTAAGGTCAGACTTAGCAATGACAACGCAGAGACGTCCAAAATGTTGAGTAAAGAAGAAACACTGAGTGCGGGGCTGTGCAGAGATTTTTGAAGGGGCATGTGCTACAAATTTAAAAGGAACAAACAGAACTGGGGTGACCCACATGTCCCAATGTGTGAAATGACTCTCAAGTCATAGTAACCTTAGGTTTGTCTGTCTGTGACCCATTGTTCTGCTTGGGAAGTAGACAGAGAGAGGAAAAAGGAAGGCATAGAGGTCAGAACATCTCTTCCCCTACAACGTCCCTAAATGGGTCAATGCAATCATTGAGGAAATGGAAATACTTTTAGGTTCTATTTCTCTTAATCGATGTTTATGGATGTTTGTCTATGTTTGCTAAATTCTTACTCAAATAAACTTTTTTAAAATGTTCATATCAATACACTAGGATGGACAGCTGCTCCAGATAGACTAGAGAAGGCAGCCAAAGGTTTGGAGAGATGAGAGGGGGCTGCACCTGTGACATCTAGTTTTGTGAATCAGTTTTCCTGAACACTTTTTAATCTTGCTAAACATTACTAGCTTGCTCAATCTAATAAAGCAGTGTTTTCGACACAAGTCACTGTTAGAATAATGTTCGAATGACCGGTATGCCCGAAGACCAGTCCAGCCCTGGCTCAAGCTGCATCATAGTGTAACGCGTGGGTTCACTAGATGGTTTGGAATCTCTCTGAATAATTAAGAACAGCAAGATGAAGACGGATAACTTTTTAGCAGCCTCTTTACTCTCAGCACACAGCAACAACCACCCACACTTCCTGTGTGCCGCCCTCATGAATATTTCACTGGCCTCTCAGAAGCCAGGAAATCTTATACTCAGATCAAAACAGGGAAAACAACCAGGTAGATATAACACATACTTATTACTGGTTTGAACATGCATGTCTAAACATTCAAACGTGTAAACATGTAAATATCAAAACACTAACCACCAAATAGCTACATAACTAGCTTTATAACCTTTGTAAACACCTCTTTGTATATCAAATTAGATTTAAATTTACACTTTACAATAGCAAAAGCTTCACAAGATTAATGTGTCACTGCAATTGTTAACTTAGTTAGTTTCTGCTTTCAATTAGATGAAATTGACTTTTTCATAGAAGGAAATGGAAAGTTGCACGGGTACAAATGTGATGATAATAATAATAAATATCAGTAATTACAGTAATTACAGAAGTCCAGACTTGGATAAAAAAAAAAAACTGGTTTTAAAATGTTTTCGTACAGGGACCTTTATAAAGTCTTTAATGTGCAGACTAGTTTACCACAAAGGCGTTGTTATTACTGTTCTAAATGTATCATTAGCTACATGCACGGATGCTTAGTCATGCACCCCCATGTGACGCATAGACGAGAGAAACCTGTGGTAGACATACAATGATCAGTGAGTGCTGAGCTGCTTATATTTGGTTCAGTTATGATGGGTGATCAGACCCAGCACCCTGTTTTCTTTGAGTGTGAGAGACTTAAAGAAGGACATTTGACGAGATTACAAAAATACTTCGGTATTCACCGCAAATCAGGCGGAGGAGAGTGCGGCCCGGTGACGAGAGTGGACGAAAACGTCTACAGTGTGGTTTTCCGAAATAAAAAAGGTAATTTGATCATGCCTTTGAACACACACACACACACACACACACACACACACACACACACACACACACACGAACTTTGTTATGCATGAAATATCCTACAGTTGTCGAAGACTTACAAATGACCATTAGTTAATTCACTATTCTCTTTCGGTTAAAATAGCCGTAACAGAAAGGTCTCGGCTGTTTAAAAGATCTTATATTTCCACTGTGATGTACTGTTGGAAGTGGGAGTAGTGAAAAAGGAAACGTAATCGAAAGTTTGTCTGGAAAGCGAAACTTAATGTTATACAAAGCATTTGGTGGTCAGCAGCTGCGAGTTCAGGAAATTACTGAACCTCTAATTTTTGAAGTCTTTCCCCTGTAAATGGGCTGTTTAGACAGAGACAGAGAGCTACAGATATCTCTGCATATGCAGTTTTTATTGTATTTGCTGTTTGTACGAGTTAGTAGAGGAAGTAAAATAAGCTGTACAAGCCCTTAAGCAGAGGTAGACTTTGAAATCATCTGCATGCTTTTATTACTGGTGTAGTCAGGGAAATATTGTGCGTGT